GAGGGAGGGAATGAGTTAACTGCTTCAAGGCTGCAGGAGCTGGGGTTGCAGAAGAGCCTCGACCATGTGCTCACTGTGCTCCTCGCTGCTGAGGCAGAGGTGCTTTGCGGTTGCAGAGCATTCCGCAGCATTTCAGATAAACCTCTCAGGCATGGCCCAGGGCACAGTGAAGGGTGTCTGGGTCATTCTGCTAATAAGGAGGCAGCCCCTAATGAGTCCATCTCTGCTCTCCTGCCTCTCTAAGAGGGAAGGGAGGGGAAGGAGTGCTCTCTAAGAGGGAAGGGAGGGAAGGGAGTGCTCCCAAGTCAGGTTTGTCTTCACAGAAGAGTTGCCTACTCTACAGATGACCAGGAATCCCCTGGATGATGCATTGATGCCATCATGCCTGGCAGGTGGATCCATTGACCCAGTGTTGAGGTATTAAGTTTTGTGGAAAGTGTCATGTTTGCAAGTCCAGAGAGTCTAGGCTGCAAAGTGTTGCTTGTCCCAGGCTGGAGTAGGAGTTGAGGAGTACAGGTAGGGGTCCAGAGCTGTGAAAGCACTCAGCTCACTGCCATGCAGAAAAGCCTCAGGGACAGTGTCTTTGGCTATGAAATGGCTGGTGTGTGTGCCAGAGACTCCACTATATGGGAGCATGGGTCTCTCAGCCCTTCCTCCTGGCAGGGAGAGGAGCGCTCACCAGGAGCAGGCTCTTCTCCCCCAGGGCCACAGCTCCAGTGTTGCTGGGACAACAACCGTGGCCCTGCTGATTTCTCTAGTAAAAATAACAGTTGACTTACAGTGCATTGTTCTTCACGTGCATTTTTGCAAAGAGGGTCCTGTAGTGGGAGGGAGCAGCAGGGGAAATCCTGGCTGAATAACGTTGCTCTGACAACCCACGCCCATCAGCAAAGCATGCTCAGCCCTCGCTGCTCCAGCTGAAGGATTTCTGCTGGTGTACCCTGTCCCATGTTCAGGCCAGCCAGCTGCAGCTCTGACATGCTCCCCCAGGATGCTTTTTCTGATGCAGGTTACATGGAGGATGCCAGGAAGGTGTAGGTAGGAAGGAGATGAAGAACAGCAGATGAAGAGGGGTCTCAGCAGCTGCCCGGGCAGCTCACAGTGCACCACGGTCCAGCTCTGCAGCTCTGCAGCATTGAGGTTCAGTTTCTAGTTTGAATGCCAGCTGTTATTCCTGATTTATGCCTGTAGGATTCACAAGCTATCTTGCTGACCGTCCCACTCTATTGGATGTAGAAAGTCCTAGGCCCACTTTCTATTGATTTCCCTGGTCTCAGAGACCAGTCCCCATCTTCTTCAATGTGTCTGTGATGGAAGTTTTATTAATGCAAAATGAATATCCCTCTGGAAAATGAAGTCCAGAAATTAATAATGAATTAAAACAACTTGCCACAGGCATTGCTAATGAGCTCTTATTCTGCGCGGCTTACATGAAAGGAGGTCATTGCTCAGCCGTTCCCATTGCGAACAGCAAGCAGATTAACCATTAACATTGAGCATGTGGGTCTCTCGAGACAGCAGGACGGGCGGCAGCTTGGCTTGTGCCTGGCAGGGTTTTTCTGCCCTTACCCCTGCTGTGCAGGTTTGTCTTGGGGAGTCTTTGCTACCTGAAGACACCTTCCTCCTCTCCCCTCCAATGACTCAGATTGCCCATCTGTGTTGGGAGGATACAGGACTCATCCCACTGGAAAGGACAATAACCTTGCAGAGCTTAAGCGGAGAGTGGAAAGTAATCTTGGAGGGGACTAGCTGGGCTTAACTTCACCACTGTAAGCCTCTTCAAGGATACCGGCCCAGTAACTAACCTGGCACCGCTCCAGTGCTGGGTCTGCATCTATTGTTCTTTTCCCTTATCTTGCAAGGCAAAGGGTTATCCTCCCTTTTATCTGCTACCGCAGGCTTTGGAGGAGGCCCAGGCAAGGGCAGTGGAGACCGTGCCCCTGCCGAGCCCCAGGGGCAGGAGGGAGGCTGTGCTGGGGGAGGAGCAGCCGCCACGAGGCATTAGAGAAGGGAAGGATGTATCAACATTCTGACCACTTCTCCACAGCTTTTTCAGCAGCCAGGTCTTGCTCAGCAGAGATAAGGAGGCAATACATTGCATTTACCCATCTTGCCTGGGGAGGGTGGCAGAAGGCAGGTGCTTTCAGGTGCTGCTCCTCACTCGATGTCTGAGGATGAATGCAGCAGTGCATGGGGCAAAGGACGCTGGGCACCATTTCTCCATGATGTGGCTGGACATCAGAAGGGGATTTTACCCCTTGTCCAGTGACCCTTGTGACAGTGCTGGCTGGCTGAATCCGAGGGACCCATCACTTCCCCATTTCCACAGGCAGCCTGTTTCACATCAGCCATTTATTGCTCTGTTCTGCTTTCTTGCGAAATATGAAAGCTCAACCTATCCCCTCCAAGTGCTTAAACCAGGCTTGCGAAAATGCTGCTGTGTTTGAGGCATGCTTTTTCACCACCCTTCCCCACCTTTGCCCTCTCAGGTGGGACACCCAGCAAGGCTGGCTGATGTCTTGCTTCCTTGCTTGGCAGCACAATTGCCCATTTATCAAATAACTGAGTCACCCCAGACCACTGGGAGCCAGGCAGTGCCAGCCACACAGCGCCGCGCCTGCAATGTATGCTGTCGTGGGAATGCCCAGATTCACCTCCACCAACTGCCCCCACCAGTGGCCCTGGTCAGAGAGGGGTCAGTCCCCTACACCCATCACTGGCCATGCATTCCCACCCCTCCTCCTGTGGAAGCGCTGGGCTGGGAAGAAATCCCTTTCTGGTGCAGAAAGAGTTTGGCCCAACAGGGAGAGAAAGGAGCAGGAAGGCTTGGGCAGGAGTGGGGGAAAAGCAAGACTTACGCTCTCAGACTGCACCTTGACAGGCACAAAACCCCCTTCCTCTCTCTCCTTCACAAGTTTGTGTTTGTTTGTCTGTTGTTAAACTGAAAACTCATCTAATGCCCCGAGTAAGTACATGCACAGAGCCTATGTATCTCTGAATTCACATGGCAGTCTTACCATCCTCTTCATCACAGTATCTGGGCACCTCATAAGCCAGACTGCAGCTTGTCCTTAAAAAGCTCTGGCAAAGGGAGGTTCATCTTATAGGAGACAGGAGTGCTGAGAATGTCCATCCCACTCAGCACAATGCCAGGACAGAAGTATCTGAGGAGTTTTCAAAGAGACTGGTGTAGCTGGTGTGCTCATTGCTTGCATCCCTGAAGGGACTCAAGGGGACAAAGGACATGACCATAGACCCACACCTTGTCTGCTCAGCTCTGAGTGCCATTCAGGAGCTGGTTCAGGAGTCTGGGAAAGGCAATGCAGCAGGTAGCGTAGACATAGCAGAGACTCCAATGGTTGTGCCTGAGAAGTCTGACCTGGGAATTAAAATGAAGCTTGTTGCATCCCACCTATTTGTTATCTGCCAGGCTGTTCTTCCTACACAGCAACTTATCTCATATTCGGAGGCTGCTTTAAGCTAGTGCTGCATTTAGGCATGGCTATTGCTTCTTTCTTTGCTGGCATGACCTAGAAACCACCCTTGCGTTGGGTGCACAGACAAGGAGCAGTATGGATGTTGCTGGTAACTGCCTTGGGATGTAGCAGGCAGACGGGTGGGTGGAGGACGGCATAACATGCACATGAATGCCAGGGAAGTGTTTCAGGCTTTGCTCAGCTGTGTCAGGTACTAGGACAGTGCTGGGTTTAGGACCATTTTTAGAGAGCGGTTGAGAGTCTTATGAATCTATTTGGAAATTAAGTACAAATCGAGTTTTTTTTAAACACAAGCTGTGTTTGTATTTACAGGACAGGACAGTCAATTAGGACAGCAGGGTTCTCAGGTCCCCACCACTCATTTTCTGTACAGCATCATCATTTCATCTCCATTTAACAACAGGTTCACGTCTGGAGTAACTGACTCAGCTGCTTGGCAGACTCATTGGGGCAGTCAAGCCTGCAGACAGCTTTATTTTCACTGAGGCTTGCAACACAGAGATTTGTAGACCAAATCCTTAGGAGCAGTCACCAGGGAACACAGCTGGGATCTCTGACCCCAGCTGTGCCAGTGCTGCTGTGACCATTACAGCTCTGGGATCTGGGGCTATTACAGGCTGTGGGATCACAGGTTGCATCTACCTAGATCCTTTGTACCCATGTTTCCTACCAGTGATAGGACAAGAGCTCTGTTATGGCCAAGACTTCAGTAGTCTGGTATGAAACACAGGAGCTCAGCAGAGGTGGTGAAAATTCACAGAGGGAGAAGGACACGTTAGACTTAAAAGTCAAATAAGACTTTGCAGAAAAGGCAGAATTGCCCCATGGTAGTAATGTACCATCCTCTGTATGGGGTGAACAGCTTCTCTGAGCTTGGCTTTTACAGTCTTACAAAGGGTATTTTGAAAGTGTGTGTTACTTTCCTTTCTTTCCTTCCAAGTGCCTAAATTTGAGGACACATCCTTATCCATAAATGACAAGCAATACTGAATGGGAAACTATTTTGTTCTGTCATTTACTTCTCATTTGGTCCTGTCACATCCTATCTTTTGGCACTATGTATTTTCTTAGTGTTATGAGCGTATATCTGTGCTGTGTGTGTGAGAGCGGGTGTCTGAAATGTGTTTGCAAAGGTCCTTGATAAAAAGCTTTAACAACTGAAATTATCAGAGAGGCATGAGTGCGCTGGTCATGGTAGATCTGAACACTGGCAGGTGGCAGGTCATCTGTCTGCAGAGACATTAAACACTGAAGAGGTCAGAATCGCCAGGTTTTTAGTATTTACCTAGGAGGGAAACTACTGCTTATTTCAAGGAGCTAATGTTGCTTAAGCTTTAGCTTGAACACCAGAGGGAACATAAAACCAATGGCAGTGGAATACCTTCAAGGATAGCATTTCCCTCCAGAAGCACAGTTCAGTTATATCCAAGTTCTCCTCATTAATCACTTTCTTCCGTTCTTGTTTTCCAGCCAAAGCTTTTGGCCAAGGAGTTGCTTGACTTGGTGGCATCTCATTTCAACCTGAAGGAGAAGGAGTACTTTGGAATTGCATTCACAGATGAAACGTAAGTGCGAGGAATTAAAGACCTAAGAGGCAACTCTTAGATCACAGGAAATCTTGGTGGAGTTTTATCCTAAGCAAAATGACCAGCGTAGAATACCTGCGTACCCCAAGGTCCTAGACCAAGGTCTAGGAGCCATGGGCCTCACATCAGAGTCTGTCCTGCACTGCCTCTTCTTCAGAGGGCTTAAGGCCTCTCATGGCACGTTAAGCATGGCCGGAGGTGTACAAAGGCAGTAACAATCCCTTCCTAATCCCATGTTCAAAGAGTTGGTGTCATTTGACATTGGACTTAAGAACCACTCACTCGTTCGAAATTATTATAGATTGGTGGAAATGTTCAATTAAAATGTTAATCTTTTTATTCACTCAAGCAGGTTTAAAAGTAATCATAGAATCATAGAATGGTTTGTGTTGGAAGGGACCTTACAGATCTCCTTTTCCCAACCCCCCTGCTGTGGGCAGGGACATCTTGCACTAGACCAGATTGCACAAAGCCCCATCCAACCTGGTCTTGAACACTTCCAGGGAGGGGCCATCTACAACTTCTCTGGGCAACCTGTGCCAGTGCCTCACCATCCTCAGAGTGAAGAATTTCTTCCTTATATCTAATCTAAATCTACCCTCTTTCAATTTGAAGCCATTAGCCTTTGTCCTATCACTACATGCCCTTGTAAAAAGTCCCTCTCCAGCTTTCTTGTAGGTCCCCTTCAGGTACTGGAAGGCTGCAATAAGGTGTCCCTGGAGCTAAATTATTTCAAGGGGAAAAAAAAAAAAAAGACAAAATTACTCTATTATTTCTGATGTTTTAGATCCCAGATTAGACTTTCTTTAAAAAGGGAAAGAAGAAAGCGTGGGAAAGGAAGGGATTGCCAAATTTAACGTGAACGAAAAGCGTTTATAAATATAAAATTTCCATTATAGAAGGGATTTGACCTTACCAGGAATCACACAACAGCCTTATGGCTGAGCTAAACCAAAGGATGCGACCCTGACACTGCAGTCACCTCAGGCAATGTTGGTTGTTCACCTTGAACCCCAGCTCCCAGGGTCCTAGTATTACCACAAAATTTGAGGTTTTGTCTCAAGACAAGCCATTTCTACCCCCTGTTTAAAATGCAAGTATAAAATTAGCACTGGAGAAACATTGAAGGTCTGCCAAATGCTATGATTAGTCCTAGACTTTGACCTCTCTGCTACTGCACAGTCTCTGCTACTTTTTTCCAGCTGCCTGTTTTCTCTCTGTAGTTAGACTGTCCTCGACATATGGACTGTGTCTTGTATGCGCGCCCCCCATACTCCACCTTGGTTTGCAATAGGTGGGGGGGTTGTATATTAATCAGGAAGAGGCTTCCTGCACCTATATTGTTTTAAAAAAACGAGATTTTCAAGCCAATGCTGTGTTCACAGAACAGCTGAGTCAGCAGTATTGCTGTCATGAGCCAGCTCTGCTCTCCTGCTGAAGTGGCAGGGAAATGTAAATTATCTGCTGGAATAATGATTCGGGATCGGGTAATCAGAGGCTGCTGGATAATTGCACAAACATATCCACATTCATCTCAGCAGCGATCGCCCCTCTAGAGCCAGTTCCTTTGGCAAGCGCCTGCCTTGGGCAGCCTGAGGCCATCTCAGGACAGAGCTCCCAGGATGGAGGAACGCTCAGCATCAGGCACGTGCAGAAGCAGGACCCGAATCAGAGGAGATCCCAGAATCCATCCCATCTCACTGACGTGAGCAGCTCAGCCCTGTAGGGGATCTCCAACCCAACACAAATTAATGAGACTGGTCCTCAAAGGAGGAACAGCAGGAGGCACTGGAAATTTATAAAGCAGGAGGAAGAAATTGCTCCTCACCAAGGCGTTACTTCTTATTGGAGAGAGCAAGTTACTCAGTGAGTGCTGCCTGAGGGGTGCAGGAAAGCCATGCAGGGAAGCCAAAGCAGGCTCAGAGATGAAAATGTTCCCTTAACAGTCCTAACAGCACAGGTTAAAAACAAGAAACACATCAGACTGCAACCAGATAGCAGCTGAGCAAGTCCCAGCTCTCAGCTCAGCTGAGTGGGCACAGGGCTCCCCTGGGAGTGCAAGGGAAGCTAATGAGGAGGTGTCAGCAATTAGAGAGAGCCCAGCCTCCCCTGGGGCTTCCAGGTTTAACACGGGGCGGCGTGAGCAATGGGTTAGCAATGGGAGGAAGCGCGAGAGGCTGACAGAGGCTGTCGAGGCAGTGCTCAAAGATGCACAGCAGATGCAGATGGATACACACTGTCTAGACAGGATTTCAAAGGGTGAGGTGATGGCATCCACTCACTTGGGCACCTTCTTGACCTGTAGTCAAGATGGGGCAGGGTGCATTTTAGGAGATGCTCAGCCAGCCCAGATGAAAGATTTGGGGACACCCTCATTAAATCTAGTAAATGCAACCCAGAAACATGCCAGTAAGTCCTAGCTGATATGAAGCTTGGTCTGCAGCCCTTCTGCTGTCCCACAGTGAGTCTGACCTTTGCACTGAGGCTTCTTCAGTGCTGTGAAAATAACCTTGACAAAAATATTTCCTCTTCAGTTGTAAAAAGCTTTGAATAGAGTTGGCATGAACAGCGATTGTTTTATTTGACTGAACACAGCCAAAAAATATACTTGAGGGGTTGGACTGGGTCTTGGAAATAGATGCCCCATGTTACCTTCAGAAAATAAACTGGGCTGTGTGTACCACAGATCTTAACCTGCAATGTGACATGGAAGTTTAAAAAAACCCCTTTCTTCAAAAAGTAGGAAAAACAGTCTCTTAATGTGTTTGCAGAGCACCTAACGCAGCCCTATAGCTGATACAGACCAGGCACACAAAAAGAAACCCTTTAATTCTGTGAAATCCCCTCAGGGATTTCCTTCTCTTCACTGAGTTTCCATGTGCCTTACTTGAAGGGAACTCATAACCAGCTAAAACAGAACAAGCCTGGTTCATAAATGTAGTCTGGGGTTGGCTAAATTGCAAGTTTAGAAAGAAGAAAAGCCACTAAAGTATTAAATCAATTCTTCTATTGAAGAGTAAAAGCTCTATGAGAGTAATTTATTTAGAAATGATTTGGACTGGGGATTTCCATTCATTAGTTGTGCTCTATCATGACAACCTAAGAAGAAAATCAATAGGAACAACCTTTGCGTTGGCAACTTAATAGTTTCTTGTGATAATATAGGGTCATTACTGCATTCAGCGTGACTAAAATTAGATTGTCAGACTATTATGGAGGGGAGAATAACGCCTCCTATTTTAATGATCATAGGAACACTTTATGGTGTGAGCCATTAACTGCGGGAGAGCACAGGTCAAAAGGGTGTCCCTGTACAGCACGTGAGGCAAAGCTTCACATGAAGCTGGAAGAGCTATATGCTGTTTGATTAGGAGTGAAAAGGAATGGGGAAAGGGCATTTTTTTTTTAGTTTAGCTGATTATGAATCTCCGCTAACCGCCCTTTCCCTTGGCATCAGCTTTCCCAGCATTCACTGAGAGCAAGTGGTCAGGATTACCCTTCTGTTTGCTGCAGACGCCCCATCTGGGCCACGGGCAGGTTTTCCACCTCCTTTACTTGTCCTTAGACATGAGTCACCTGCTCCATGGAGAACTACCAACTTTTGCATTCCACAGCTCCCCCTCTCTGTGGGTCCAACCAAAAGCTCATCCAAACCCTTTTGCTCCCTTGCCAGAGGAGAACCTGCAGAGCAGCTTCTTCAGCTAGCTAATATATAGGATAAAAACTGCAAGGCATTGAGGCCCCCATTATTTGTGTTACACTTGTGCTAGAGAGTGTACTAACGTGATAAGGTAGTGACAGAGTGTGCCCTTGCTCAGCCCAGGATCCTATGGCTTATGGATCCCGTGGATGGCAAGGGAAGAGCAGGGTACCACTCTTCCCTGGAAAACTCTCTCATCTCTGGGAACTGGGGGGAAGCCTATTTCCACCCTGCAGCCATGTGGCAGGGCCAAAATGAGGCCAGGTGTCCGCGGCCCCTCCCCCCCCCCCCCCAGCCAGTCCAATGGAGGGTGCAGCTTTCAGAATAATGTTCCGCTCTGGCGATAGACCAGTTCCTTTGTCACCAAGTCCACCGTTTTGCAATATCTGTACAGTTAAACTCACATAGCTCCTTGAGCTTTGCAACCCCTTCAAAAGTATTTTTGTTGAAGATTAAGACCTTAAAAGAGAAAATCTGTGAGCTTAAGGTTTTTTTTGTTTCTGTTGTGATTGATGGAAACGTAAAATAGTTTATATGGTTTCTATTATGTGAATTGGTCATTCTCAATGTCCATTCAATTCAACATGAGTTTGACACTGAAGGGGCGTGAGTTGGTTTATTGTTCCAAATACCTTTATAATACAAATCAATGTGGATCCACTTTTCAGAAAACTGGACACTAACCAGTAAAACTGTATAAACAGAACCACCTGGAGGCAAAATATTCATTGATGTACCACTCTTTACTGAAAGCCCTGATAAAAGAAAACAGAACCTCTCCTTGCAATTGACAATATGAACCCTGGGCACCAAAATCCATACTCAGTCTGTAACCTAAATGGACTCAGTTTCTTTTTCTAAAAGTGATTATGTATTTGTTATTGACACACCAGTTTAACTGCCAACATGAGTACAACCAACAGAGAAAAATGATCTGGCTTCCAATATTCAACCTCCCTATAGGTCACCCAAAACTGTTTGCACCATTATTTGTGAATACACTGATAAATACCTAAATGAACAAATCAATGGTGATAATGAAACAAAAGCTACTTTGTGTCTCTAAATTGAACCGTGAAGGAAATCCAGCTAGACATGGGCACGTATGAATGGGATCCCAGTGCAAGCTGCTTAAATTGGTCCATTAAAACTGTCAGGATTACTACATGCCTAGGGTTATATGCCCATACTTTTCTCGTCTTACATGGGATTGTGCTCCATGAATAGTTCTGCTGAAGACAGGAAGACGGCTTGCAGAGCAAAGCGTTTTGTGGTGTAACGGCATTGGAGTTTGGCTCCCCGATAGACCACATTCACAGGCGGATGCCAGTGATTGTTCACTGCTGCTGTTCTCTACATGCCACACATGCACGCTTGAAAACAAAGAGTTAGGTGACAATCTGCAGTGCAGAAGCCCTCGGTGATGAAAGATTGTAAGTGGTAATTGAGTACAGTGAGCAGTTAGCTCCTGGCAGTGATTTAAGTGACCTTCCTCCCCTGAAGGAGCTTTGGATTTAAGCTCCATGCAGATGAGAGTAATGAAACTCTTCAACCCAAAAACTCGGTGGCAATTAAATGTTATGCAGTACGCACAACTGTGTACGCGTGCGACATAAATGTGTAACCTGGTATGCATACGTATATGCATATATTCTTTTTGTACTGATTATATCAACCAGTTTCTCAAGTTAAAATGCAGCGAGAATGAAAAGAGCAAGTCTTTTCAAAATGAGAAATACCTTGAAGTGAATTATTGTTCTGTGCACCATGGCTTCTCAACCCTTCGTTGTACACATTAGGCAAACCCAGACATTTCTGTTGAATAAACATAGAGGTAGGCAGTAAGTCCATTGTCAACAAATCGGTCTCGGTGGGAACCAGTGTGTAATGCCATCAGCTGCTGGTGGCTGCTACTTTGGTGATACAAATGCAGCTGGACAGGTTCAGGATAGAATGTCAGGCTTAGTGTGGCTTTTCCTTGCTCTGACAGTGTTTCGTTGGCCTACATGATTAAATGCTCGTTTTGTACTTTGGCTAGGAATGGGTAAGCATGTCTAGTTTCAATCCCCATGCATACTGTGGCCTTCACAGTTAATTTCAGCCTTCCTGAGTCCTGTTGAAAGAAACATAACAGCACTTCAGGACAAAAAAAAAAAAAAAAAAGAAAAAGGACAAATTTCAAGAAGGGGGATGCAGCGGGAAATGTGGACACCTCTAATTTTTGGGTGCCCAGGCTGAGAATCTTTCAATAGGGCTTATTTTCTGACAGCCTGGAGCACCTGTCTTCTAGAAACCAAGCCTTCTTAAAGTACATATCTGTGCTGAACAACAGGGCACGTTGCAGGGATCCCACACTAGCACTGGGCGACCGCATCCCAGCAGCAGAAATGATGGAAGGAGACCCCATCGTGCTGCATGCCCAGCTACACAGCCTGCCGAGAGCAAGACCAGTTAGCCCATACACCTGGCCCCGTTAACACTGCCATCCTCACCCCTGATCCCGGGCAGTATCACTGCACAGCACTGTCCTAGGCTGGACAGACTTGCCCTCAGCCCGTGTACTGCAATAGAGATATATGAAATGACTGGTTGGGCTTGAAAATCTGCATTATGTCACCCCTTTCCAATAGCCACGCTGCTGGTAAGTCTGTGCCCCTAAGACACAGTTCAGGCTGCCCTTTACCTAGAGAAAAACAAATAGAGCAAAAACTTATTTAAAAACTTTATCTAGAGAAAGAACTGACTAAAAGTTAAAATATCTTGGAGAGAAACACACAGGTGTCTAGAGCAGGGGATAAAAAAGGTTTTCATTCTTTTTGTACACCAAAAGATGTCCAGGATGAGTTTGAAAAGTCCCCAACTCCACATGTATCACTTGTAGCTAGTTGAGACTTGGTACTCTTGCAAAATAGATGCAAAGGCTGTTTATAAATGTCTGATCCTGAACCCACTGGAGTGATGAGTGGAGCTCACAAGTAATTTTGAATCCCTTAGACAGTGCAAAGCAGGGTGCTGCGCTGAGGTGAGCGTGCACGATGTCCCAGCTGATCTCCAGGGCAGCCCAGAGCTGCCTGGGCTTGAAGGCCCGCGAGCTGCCCATCCTCTTCTGCATCTACATAAGCCAGGGCAGCCGTACAGAAATTCAGATTGAACCCAGGTGATTCAAAGCCTCCTGAAATTGCTACTTTCCCCTTTATTTATTTTTCTAGAAAAGATGGAGTCGGGGAGCTATAAATCCGGTTAAATTGCTAAATAGATGTTGTTGCTTACTTTCCAAAGGGGCTTCTCAGTTGCCCAAAGCACATGCGCTGCTAAGGAGTAACGGGCAGACCCTTGTGAAAGCCGAGTATGTTTGCTGACAGGGTACATTGCTAAGGCTTGTGGCAACCCTAGAAGTTAATTTAATGCTTTTTTTTAAACCAAGCTTTTTTTTTTTTGCTTTTTTTTTTTTCTTTTTAGTGGAATGAAGAATTATTCTTGAGGATTAGCATGAGCTGGTGAATAGTCACTGGAACAGAGCTCAGGACATCTGAGTTCCATTTCCTGCTTTATTTGCTGCAAGATTCTCCCCAAAATCACTTCAATTCTCTCTCCCCTTGCTTGTCTAGACAGCAGAGTGCTGAAGGCATGGGCTGCCTCTCCCTCTGGGTGAAATCTGGTCTGACTGAAATCAATAGCAAAACGCTCACAGGATGCAGCCCTAGCATCACTGAAGGCAATGGCAAAATTCCCGCTGACTTCAGTGGGGCCTGAATTTTACCCTACGTATTTCCACAGTGCCTAATTTAACAGGGCCTTTATCTCAGCTGGGGAGTGAGATGCCCCTGTAATACAAATCATGGTATTTATAAAATACCTTTCACGCACACACAGCACTCTACAATGTGGTGAACGTGACAAAGAACAGAGCTCCTGCCCAGGAAAGCTTCCAGCAGCAAGGCACAAATGGATAAATTATAGGAGAAAATAATAGCGACAGGTACCATCTAGGCAAAAGAAAAGCAGCATGTGGTAATTGGAGCTGGAATGCTTCATGGAGCAGCTGTTTTTCAGGAGCTCTCTGAAGGAGGAAAACCGAAGGCTGGGCAAATCTAGAGAGGCTATTGCAGCCATGTGGGTGGTAAGTAAACTGTCTGAGGCTGTAGAGTCAGGTTTAGCCTTGAGTGAAATATTGCAAGCGTTGTGGAAACTCTTAACAATAAGGATTTCTAATGAAAATCTTGACAGACTTTTAATGATACAACTGCACCAGGGGGTTGTAATAAAAAGGTGAAGCTCATAACATTTTGGGCTGTCCTGCCTGCTCGGTGCTGCCAGCTTTCACCCTGACAGATTGAACTTTAGCAGTTTGATTCCCAGACTGAAATGTTGCCAGGATGATATCGCCTCCACTCCTCAAACATTTACCGTGTGTTTTTCAAATATCATGCAATAGCCGAGGGCAAATAGCATACGCTTCAGTTCGTCTTTTGTAACACCTCAGACCTCATTGCAATGAGTAGCGAGAAACCTCTTCAGTGCCGGGCTCAAAACTGTCTCTTCTCTTGCCAGGGGACACTTGAACTGGCTTCAGCTGGACCGCCGAGTGCTGGAACATGACTTCCCCAAAAAGTCAGGACCAGTTGTTTTGTACTTTTGTGTCAGGTAAGTGCGTGATGGCAAGCCCTTCCCATGGGATACAGCTACAGACAACCTGTTCCCCAGAGGCCAGGAAATGAGGCTGTCGGTTTCTCACGCTGTAGAAACACCTGTGGACAAACACACACTTTTACAGAGGTTTCTTTTGAGCTCCTTGGCTTTGAAAACTCTTCTCACACAAGTGTAAATAAGTAGTAGCCACACTAACACTCATAGCTGCTCACAGAGAAACCTTGTATGAGGGCAAGATCACACGTTATGCCTTTACATTTTTATTTGTGGGTTTTGAACTCCTGGAAAGCCCAAGCTGGGTAGGGCTGCAGAACAAAGACCTCTTTCTGCCAGGATAACCAACCTGGGCCAGCCACCTGGAGGGAAAACACTTGCTTCCTCACCGGCGAGCCATATGTTTCCTCTGGATTGTGCCCAGGGTGTGCATTATGTCAGGGACCAAATTAATCCCAGTATAACTCTGTCGTATTTGCCTTCTGGACTTAACAATGTAACGGTATAATGGATTACCCGCAAAGAGCAAATGATGGCATTTTATGGCAACCAGTTGGCTTCTGCATGGGCATGGAATATATTCATAGACTGGACTAGACCAAACTAGAAAGGTTTTAATGAAGATGATGGCAGTTTGGGAGAATTTCTCTTCATCTGGGAATTTTGCAAGGAACTGTTAGTGTTTGGAAGCCGCTAGAAGCTGCCGGTGCTCTTGTGTACACAGTGTCTTTGCCTCCAAGGGAGATATTTTCTGAGAAGACAAATTTGCTCTTGCAGCTTTAAAACACCCAGAGAGAGGCTGGGGGTTGGGATGGCATATGTACAAAATTAAGTTGAGGGTTTTGACTTACTTTTAATGGATAGCTCATGTCTAGAACTAGCCAGTGCAGTGTTAGTGTGTCTTTTTCTGTTAGCCTTTCCACTCCAGTGTTATATTACATCTGACATCACTCTCATTCATTCCATAGTACCCACAAAAAATGAAGACCTACTTTTGAGTTTCTTCCCCTGAGTGAAGCTTTTTTTCCCTACATAGTGGTTGTCATTCATTTAACTTCAATTACAAGGGAGGCTTCTCAGGAGAAGAGACTCTTTGTTCTGTTATGTCCCCATATTAAGTGGTGGATATATCTTAGGACAAATCAAGGCTGCGCAAAGCCCCATGACTCCAGAACTGGCCTGCTGTCTCTCCCAAGAGAAGAGCTTAGTCTACATTTTGGGTGCTTCAAACCATAAGGGTAGATCCAGAGCTAAACATTTCCAGTGTATACAATCCACCTGTGCTTAGAACTACACAAAACTGTTGGTGCTCTTCTGCAAAAGTGTTAGACTTTTAGGCAAATTAAAAAAAAAAACAAAACCAAAAAAACAAACCAAAAAACCCAAACTCATTAAGAACATACCAGCTCTGTTATCAAGCATCTTGCCTAGCGGCCAAATTGAGAAGTCCGTGCCAGGGAAGGAATCCCACGGAAAGCAGATTTTAGGAGTGGAACTGCTAAATGTGTGAAAGCCGGTGCTACTGAGCCACTCTCATCTTCATTTCAAAGACCACTCAACGAGCATAAATATTGCCATCTGTATTGTTTTATGAAAGTTGGCAGCACAGCAGAGACAAGTTATTCTAGCGGGATCTTAGCCAAGAGACATCTTAGGACTATGGACCCATACAACAGTTAGTAAATGAGTGACCTCTCCTGTTCTGGAATCGTAATCCATAGCGGAAATCCATAGGGGAAAAGTCAGCATTCAGTGTCTGAAAAGTGAGTGTGTGAAAATCAGACTGACTATGGGCTTATACTCTTTTTTGTGATAGTAATGAGTGGATTGTCACACTGAGTTACAATTTGAAATTAACTGGAAGGCCAGATGCCTCAAGAGTTAGGAACGGGCATTAACTTACCACGGCTTTTCTACTGGTTTTCTTCCCCTGTGGATGTCAGATGCTGGCAAGAAGTTGAAAAAGTTTCCCAGCATTTAAAGACTTCCCATGTCCATCCCCAAATCTGATCTGAGCAGAAGGCAATCGGAGAAGAAATCGACTCCAGCCAGCTGGCTGAATTTGGAAAGGCCCCATGTATCTGTTACCAGCAGTTTCAGTTCTGGCTTGGGAGCTAAAGCAAGGGCTGAAGGAATGGTTGTGAAGAGACCCACCCATAGACAGGGTTGTATTTTGACAATCTGGTGGTGCAGAGCGGCTTGCAGAGCCATCCATACCATAAACAGAATGCTCCCTCTCGCCTGCTGCCATGAGGTGGAAAGCAGAGATAACTAATGCCGTACCATACCTAATTACAAATGTGTTAATTTTTAAGGGACTGGGTGCCCATGACACCTACTATATCATTGGTAAAGGTTTGCCTGTGTTTGCAGACACCTTTCTTGCATTACCTCTCCCAAGCATTGCAGCTGAGACAGCTTAGGCTGGTGTTAGGGGTCCTAACTGGGGGGCTAGTAATACAAGTAACTGGATGTGCCAGATGTTCGTTACAGAGAAATCTGTTTACTGTATCAGGATTTAGTAATCATGTGGGTTTTTCCCTCTAGTCAAAGTAAATGTACAATTCAACCACACTGGGTAACTACTGAAGACATGAAGCTTCAGGCAAGAACAGTAAATGGTAGTTTGTGAAGAGGAGAAGCTACAGAGCAACCATTTTCACCTTTTATGTGACCATCAAATTGTTTTTTACCCTTAACATGCCTGCAGCAATGTTGACGGGCAGCATGCCCACCAAAGATGCCGCAGTTTTTAGATTGCTCTAAAAGTACATTTAAAGGAAGCATGCCTTTTTAAGCAAAGGCTTCTTGTAAGAACCGTGCGGAAAATAGGAAGTTTCACAAGCTTTGCAGCGTGAAATTCTCCTCCCTTATTTAAATCTCTGCAGTACTGTTGAAGCTTCATCTTTTGACACACATTTCCTTGGGGTTTGACATTGTTGAACATTGATGTCCAGTGTCTTTACTCTCTTCCGTAATCAAAGACCAAAAATTTCAAGGCACTGTGTCAAAGAAGAAGGATTTTATAAGGATGTTCTTAGTATTAGTTCAGAAGAAATTGCTTCTGCCCTTGTACACTTGCACAGCTAACTGAAGCCTCTCTGTCCTCAGCTTGTCATCTAGTGCTTCTCTGGAAGCTTTCCACTGAGAACAACATAGGAATCTAGGAAGCAATCAGAACTGCTTGGGCAGCTGTGAACTGCCCCATGGCTATTCTTGTGCAATATTATTTTATGAGACTCTGCTAATATCCGTTTATATAGCTTTAAAGCCATACATGAAAGCAAGAGGGAGTGCCATGTGTCTTGCAGGGGAGGTGGGATGTCTGGCAACAGGATGGGAGTGATATTAGTTCTCATCTTAGAATTAGCTTCCCCGGGTGGCTTTCTAAAGCCGTGGTCACTTGGTTGTTGGTGAAACTCATTCCCTGCCTCAGAGGGCTTACAGTGCAGATAAACCAAGTCAGATGAGAGTCACAGCTCAAGTCCGGGAGAAGCAAAAGATGGGGATGAAGGAAGGAGGGATTGCTTGACTAGTTGATTTTGCAGAGGTGTTTTTAGACCAGAAGAGGACAATGAAATTGTACCTCACAACATGAGCTGCATGACAAAGGGTAGGAACCTAAGTAAAGTGTGGACACCCAGGCAGCAAGGAGGTCAGAGGAAAACAGAGCTAGCAGGGGTTCAGCTGAAGGTTGTTATATTTTTGGCAGGGAAGGAAGCATTTTGCTCCGACTCACACAGGCAGGAGAAGGAAGGCGAAGTTACTCCCTTTGTGTAAATCTTTGAGGTGAGAGAGGACCAGAGCATAGACACGCTGTTTGTTCATGGAAAGCAAAGTTGGCCAGGCTTTGCAGCGAATTCTCATCCTCAAACAATGGCCTTGTGGGATTAGCATCCTTAGCTAGGGAACCACCAGCATGGGTCTGATCTCTTTCTCTTCTGGATGTTTGTCATGCTGTTAATTTATATGAACAAGCTCAGCAAATAAAATTCACTTCACTGGTGGATCTTTTCCCAGGAATGAATATATGTGTTCTCAGGGTAGCTCCACCAGCTAAACAGTGACAACTCACTGCAGAAATCGTCACGCTAAATCAGAACATCTCTCACGTGGAAAGGCTTTTCTTTCAGAAAGGCATGGAAAAAAATGTGAAATAAATCCTCAATACTCAAATACACTGTGGGGCAGAGTTTGTATCTATGGCCCGGCAGCATTCCCACAAAGGAATGCCTGTGTCCAGCAACGTCTGGCATGTGTTCATACGTACTGGCTAGGCTGAAGTCAGCATGAGGGCTGTGGGGGCTCAGGACTCTCAATATTGAGGCCAGACGTTTTGCCAGGTTACCACAGTTACTAGAGAACAAAGTGGCCTTTAATAAGAGACCAGCACTGAAACACAGAATGCAAAGCTCATGCGTCTCGTTGCTTCCTTTAACCTGAAGGAGCGTAGTTCTGTGTGCACTGGCGGTGGTCCAGGTCCGAGGCAGGTGGGACAGATGTCTGAGATGGGACTCACCACACCAAACCTGAGATGTTTACCTAGTAGATGGCTCTATGTCGGGGCTAACTAGCACAGCCTTCCTGTATAACCACTGGAAAGAAATAGGCACTTTTCAGGAACAATTCATCCGACTTATTTTAGATGACTGCTTTGGAATTCAGCAAGTTGCAGCCTAAAATACCTATGTCTCCTCTCTGACCTCAGACGCCTACTCAGATGTAGGCATCTACTTTGTAGCTACCTCTTTTCACCTGATGAATCCCCTCCATGTGCATCAAGGGCAGCCTATAAATTCAGATTATTATTTCAAACAGGGTTGGCACAGCCAGGGTTGAGGAGGCATTTCTCATCTACAAGGCTTTGCCTGGCTACCTAAACGGAATTGGACCAGATTTCAGTTGCTAATGAGGCCTTAGGCTATCTTATTTTTTCAGCCTTCCTTTATATCCAGTCTTTAA